CGCTTGGAGATAATGAAGCATTTCTATTACACCTGATATTTGTATTTGTCATCCTTTCATATATGTTTGTAATTATTTATGCCGGGCAAGAAATTACAAATCATAACAATCAAGTATACTCCACAGCGTAAGATATAGATACATTGTATCGCCCCACAATTGTTTGTGTTAATATAGGATGGTCCGTTTAAAGTATTACAGGTGAATAACTTTGAAACTATTAATAACACAAAAACATGGTAAAAGTGCATAATAACAGACCCAGCTCCAATAACCTTGACCTTGGCATATTACCTTTGGACGTTACTCAGGAACGTCCAAAAGGTTTAAGCCGTCGCTCGTTTTTTATTAAAAAGTTATTAACAAAAAAGGTTTGAAAAATATAGCAGTTATTTTGAGTATTGAAAGGCATAAATGACTAATATATATGTGGAAAAAGTATATGTATGAACGATTTCCCGCTTTTTCCCCCATAGGGGGGGCGGAACCCACTGCGTCCATGCACATACTTTTCCACCCACACAAGAATTGTAGGGTAGACCTCACTTCGCGTTGTAAAGTATATACAATATACGTGGACGCAGTGGGTTCCGCCTCCTCCCCCCCCTACGAGCGGGCTCCACTTCCGGAAGATATAACCTAACCCAAACCTATTTCTGATTCAAAACTAAAATTTATGCTTCTGCTTATCCTTATATTATTAAATCAGAAATAGGTTTGGGTTAGGTTATATCTTTCGGAAGTGGAGCCCCCCCGTAGGGGTGGCGAAACCCACTGTGTTCACGCATATATTTTACAACGCGAAGCGAAGTCCATCCCACGATTGTTGTGTGGATGGGAAAGTGTATGCGTGAAAGCCCCCTACGGGGGGGCTCCACTTCCGGAAGATATAACCTAACCCAAACCTATTTCTGATTTAAAACTAGACTTTGCTTCGTGCAGAAAGTTGCAAGTTCATGTGAAATCATATAATTATAAATCTTGTTTAAGTAGTCAGAACTTTTTACTAACCTAGTGACGGGAAAGATCAACATCAAGGTCAACCGGAAGTTATATGGGATAGGGTGTGTAAAGGTAAACATTTACGTTTTATTTAGTAAACTTTTTTTGTTAATAACTTTTTATTAAACAACGAGCGACGCTTAAAACATTTTGGAGGATGCTCAGGACAGTGACCTTGACAACATATGTCAAGGTCAAGGTCATTGGGGCTGGGTCCGTTATTATGCACTTTTACCAAAAATATGTTTTAGACAAAAATTGCTTAGATGGATGAGGGACATATGACGACGCAATCAGAGTTATGCAATTTAACATTATTTTCAAGATCATTTCAAAGTCAATCCAATTTTTTTTAATGAAATGGTATATTTTTATTGTAAGCATCATCAAGAACTTCTCAAGAAAATTTTAACAACCTTCAATAATGTATCATTTAATTAATTTCGTATAGTTAGAGAAACCAAAGCGCGAAGAAAGTATACAAAAAACCAAACTCTCAAATGTTCCAAAAAAAGTAAACAGCATACAATATTGTTAACATGATAATTACGGAGTTTATTTAATCAATTTCAAGATGTATGTAATGAGATAATAAAGAAAAATGAAATCGCTATTATAGAAAAGTACGGAAACAAAGCAAAATAGCGTATTACAATTAGACTTATATGTAAGATAATATTTCTTGATCTTTTTTCTATATTCTAATATATTTTTACATTCAAATAAATAAATTGCATATATAAAAAAACTTAAAAAATTAAAGAAAATAATTTACCTATTGAGAGTTGTAAAGAAATAATTCGTAAATAAAAGTAAACTAAAATTCGTAAAGTAAAATTAAAATTAGTGAACAACAAATCCGCACAAATAAGAAGAACAAAATGGCTTTCTCTAACCTTACATGAGTTAAAAACTTACAAAATTAGTTGCATGTGCTTATGTTCTATTACAAATATAAACTATATCTCTCTACACAATATATGTGCACACTCCTTAGAAAATTATGCAAAATCCTACAATTATATAAGCTGTACAATAAATAGCGACACATTAACAAATATAAATTTTTATTGTATTCACATCTTACAATATGCATAGAACAGTGTATTGCGTAAGAAGCCAAGATAATGTTTTTATAATTAGTATCTCTTGTTGGCCAAAATGCAATTAAAAATTGTATTTTATTTATACTATTATCTAATTTTATATATGTTGCTTAATTATTTAAAGTTTAAAAGAGAAAGTATTCTGTAATAAATCAATTAAAGTTCATATTTTCTAAATTTGAAACTGAAGGCTCAACATTATTGATAAACTATTTAGAGAGAGATAATATTTCTATATCTCTCTTTTTCTCCATTATTTTACAGGCAAAAGCTTAGTTAATCAATAGATATAAATGTGAAATAGCTTGTAGAAATGCGCAAATGTGCATAAAACGATAGTCTCTTCAATAAAAATTATATATTTACCAATAAATTAATAATTAATACATCGGCGATTTAAATGAAACGGCGGGTTATATTCCTTTGTAGAATTGACCGTAACTGACAAGTACACGCACTAGAATGAAGCATGTTAAAATACATCGCTGCAAAGTATTAAATGCGCATGTGCGGTTTTTTATCGAGAAAAATATTTTTTCATGGAGTTATTCTCTATGGGAAATAAACACGTGTTATATTCCCGCCGGCGTCGAAATCGATCGCCTAATTATATACTCTTTCGCGAGGGAAGGTGAAAATTGTCAAGCGTTTCGATCTCACGGTAGTATTATATATCGCGCTGCATTTACATTAAATTAAGCTATTTGCATTAGAATTTAATATAGTAAAATGAAGCTATAGCTATAATTCAGTTGGCTAATCGAAAGAGGGGAATAAGCAAACCATCAGTATTTTTGCACTGTCGAACGCATCTTGATGCTCGCGGAGAAATGATCAGCTTTGACTCTCTGCACATCAGTCTTAATCGAACTTTGCTACTTTCGATTGGTCTGTGGCCTTATCAGCAATCGAATCTCGTTCGATTTCAAATAGTCCTGCTTTTTGCTATTTTGACGACCTGCATTATATTTCAGGTACGTCTATATTTTTAATTATGTTATTATGTGAGAAATAAACTAGTTTACCACTAGTTTTATTTGTCGCAGTTTTCATCTTGCGTTTGGTTGTAACCATATTATAAACATAATGTCGTAATTATTCATATTGTATAACATCGAATACATACATATATGTGTACATACATACATGTATATAAAAATACATGTACCTTATATATATTTTACGTTATACAATATATATAATTTAAATAATAATAATTTACTTTTTAATTTTTAATCGTATCATTAAGTACTTTTTGAATTATTTTATATTTCAATTTAACATATCTCGATATAAAAAATAAAATATCTCGTAAAATATTTAGTTTTCGATAATCTTACCGTAATACTTATTTTTTACATCAAAATATGTCAGATTAAAATATGAAATAACTCAAAAAGTACTTAATGAAAAGATACTTTATTATAGTGTTTTAAAAAGCTCGCAAGATAAGCTACAAGAATATGTAATAAAAAATAAGGGATTCCATTTAAGAAAACATCGATCACATTGACTTGGCCTTGAAAAGGTCACTCAAGGTCAAGTCCATATTTTCATCATGTGTCCCCCTCTGAACCATACAACTTTTGTATAGAACATTTTTTTCCATCTTGTTTACTTTACGAGATATTTGCGTGCGTTGATTAAAATGACTCACCCTGTATGTATATATATGTGTATATACAGGGTGTCCCAAAGCACCCTTGACAACGCTCGTGAGCAGGTAGAGCACAG